GCCCTGGAGACATAATATACCCTTCATACCACATTTACATGAAAGTAACCACCTGTATTCTGTGTGTTTGTCATGGGGCCAATTTAGTTTACAAACATTACAAATTGTTGTATTAGTAATTGCAAGTCATTCAGCATGAATGAATGAATGAATAAATAAATAAATAAATAAATAAATAAATACTAAAATATTAAATGGCATTGAAAGCACATATGGATGGATATCATTTTTCATATGGATATCTTTTTTTTTTTCATATCATGGATATATTTCTTTTCATATCATGGATATATTTCTTTTCATATCATGGATATCATTTCTTTTCATATCATGGATATCATTTCTTTTCATATCATGGATATCATTTCTTTTCATATCATGGATATCATTTCTTTTCATATCATGGATATATTTCTTTTCATATCATGGATATCATGCTTTCCATATCATAGATATCATTTCTTTTCATATCATGGATATATTTCTTTTCATATCATGGATATCATTTCTTTTCATATCATGGATATATTTCTTTTCATATCATAGATATCATTTCTTTCCATATCATAGATATCATTTTTTTTCATGGCGATTTTCCACCAAGAAAAATTGTTTCTTTTCCTTCCTTTTAGGCATTTGTTTCTAATGAGTGCTCTAACAGATCAAATGGAAAATTTGCATGTAGTATGCCAATACTTAATTTGAGAAAAATGAAACAAGCTGAACAGTCAATGGCATTTTTAATTTTTGGCAGAAATTACCAAAATGAATAGTGTCTGCCTAAATGTAATAGCTTCACAATAACTGCAAGTAATGATGGCTTATTGATTGAAATGTACAACAGATAAATTTCTGTCACTTGACCTTAAATGCATACCATCCACATAGACATTATCAAGCAATACAATAACCCATTTCCGCTTTGACCCTGCTGATGGTGCTTGTGATCGACTTTGATACAAGTTTGCTGTAGGTTTTGTTAGATGCAAACATATTTTCTGATGTTTTTTTTCTGTGACACAATGCACGAAAAAACACAGTTGTATGTATTTCTGTTAGACATAATGAGCATAGTTGAAAATACAGTACTTAAAATTACATTATTATTTAGCTTTGCAGTAAAAACTGTATTGTAAGTTCATCGGCTGATGGCTTACTCAAAGTATGGCAATTACGTGGTTACCAACTCAGTTTGGTCTTCGTCTCAGAAGATGTGTCTTCCTCTACTAGTTCTATAATCACATTACGTAAGATCCACTGCCTTGCTGCACACCAAGATGTAATATTCTATGGGGACAATGGTGTCAATGTAAAAGTACTTCAATGGAAAACAGGTCAGTATGTCGAGCATTATTGGGAATAAATTGAAAATCTTGTCCATTCTGCTGTCATGGCTTTAAAGTACTGGCTACATGTATATACCAAATGTGACTTTAGGCTTGTACATTGAGTACAAATTGTTGGATGGTTAATGTGCTTTTTAAAAAAATGCTTTTTGTACTTTCAAGATTGAGACAAACTCTTCAATTTTTTACTACTTTTTCGTAAGAAATCTGATAAATTTATCAATTAGATAACTGCATATTACCACCAGAGTGCACTTTTTAAAGATCAAATGTTCTGTTGTATGTGAATTCACAGTTCCTCTATTCATCTATGTGAATTCACAGTCTCTGTATTCATCTATGTGAATTCACAGCCCCTGTATTCATCTATGTGAATTCACAGCCCCTGTATTCATCTATGTGAATTCACAGCCCCTGTATTCATCTATGTGAATTCACAGCCCCTGTATTCATCTATGTGAATTCACAGCCCCTGTATTCATCTATGTGAATTCACAGCCCCTGTATTCATCTATGTGAATTCACAGCCTTTGTATTCATCTATGTGAATTCACAGTCCCTGTATTCATCTATGTGAATTCACAGTCCCTGTATCATCTGTGGTGACTTGAGTTGTTTATAATATATAAATTACTGACGTGTCATAACAGCTCAGAGGTCTCACTGCTTATAGTGTATTTTCATTCTGGACAGTCAATAATGGTGAGTTCTATCAGCATCAATGTTTTTGTGAGTGCTTTATAAGTGTTTTCTTTTTCATTTACAGCTAATTTACATAAATTAAGAAATCATCTCGATGACTTTGGCAGTACAGATGCTATGTATATTCAGAATGATGTCATGGTATGTTCTGGATTTGACTTGGATCATGGACATGGCTATATCAATGGTATGTATACATTAAAACTTCACTGTTTTGGAGTTCCTTCTTCTTAAATACCAATTTACATTAGCATGACACGATGGACTTTTATTGAAACGGCCACATTTTATTAGTTCACAAGTTGTTTGTACTGTATGATGGACAATATTTCAAGCTTTCAATATTTGGCATCTTCACCAGCCAAAGACCATTTATTCGGCCGAAGCCTCAACATTAATCCTTGGCAGATTTCTTTCTGAATGCCGTACAATTATAAGATTCATTTGCCTTACCCAATCAGAACTCACTTTAGAACGATATATAACTTGGTAAAATCATGGCGCCAACTCGGTAGAATAAAAAGAAATTAATGTGTTGCTAGCTTTTTCTCTGTGAAAGAGCTTACTGACCATTAAAAAAAAAACTTACTGCTGTATCTAAGGGAAATGATGTGTTAGTTGCAACGAAGAACGGATTGTAAAAAACGATATGTTATTTGTTTGAACAGTTTTGTCAGTTTACTAAAACACAGTTTGCACAAATATTTAAACATTCCATAGTCTTCATTTACTTGTCCACAAACAATTTTCAATATTCTGTTCCTGACCCCCGTTGAATCAGCGCAAGTCCGACAAGTCGCCATTGTTTTAATCTGTGATGACCCCCGGATCTTCACATTTATGATACAGCAACACTGATTGGTAGCGCCAGCTTCTTTGCACGTCCAATCAAATGACTCAATTTAACTGCAGTGAAATACAGCTTTTCCTAACACGATCACGCACGGGTTTCGTGGGTCGGTTATGAATGGCCGGCTTTAGCGAAACTGGGCGATGAGATTTTGGTGTAGCTGATGAGTGCAGAGTTTGGTTTAAATGTGTGTATACTGCAATATGTGTTCGACATCTTCATTTCAGTTCAATATTTTCATCTATTTGTGGTTAAAAGTGATTGTATAGCGGTTGAGGATTTTGACTCCATATTAATAGGTCCTAGGATATTTTGGTAAGTTCTGGCTTTGGGAGGTTTGAATATTGAGTCAAACAGAAGAATATGGTATATTAATTAATTTAATATTTATATTATATGTATACAAGTTAACACCTTTTGTGTCAAAGTTGTACCTTATGGCAATTTTACGTAAGCAAGAACTTTATTTTGATACTTGTATACATTGTACTAAGACACTGAATGAGCCTTGCACATTATTTTAAATTATCTGAATAAAATGTTACTTCCTTCGACATCAAAGTTATAAAACTTTTTAAATCAAAATCTATAAGTAGTATCAAGTTGCACATGTTCATGATAAATACTAAATACAGAAAATGTGTTATCAGATAACCTGCATGTCAACATTGGTTCAACTATTGGATGCCAGCCACAGGGCTTTGAATTGAGGATCACAAAGCTACAATTTGAAATTGTCTTATTTAACAAAAACTTAACTTCTAATGAGCTCACAATATTCTTACAGTATTTATAGAAAGAAAATGTTCTACGTAAACTTTAGGTAGAAACCTAGTCATAATTTTTGACAAAATTGGTCATAAATCGCATGACAATGTTGATTAGTTTATTACCGGTATGTACAATAATGAAGCTAATGTCTCATGGTATAATGAAATAGCATTATTTTGTGTGTTACAGTTATGCTTTTTGAGAAACGTGTCCTAATATTTCTTGAAAATTGCTATTTTTAGAACAATTCCATAGAAGCCAATGTTAAAGAAAAATTGCATTTTTTGACACTTTTTAAAACCCAGATTTTTTAAATAATTCAGAACAACAAAAAGTACTCCATCCTTAACAATATATGATTTTTTCAGTCTATGTCACCAGGCTAGATATTGCATAATATCTCTGCCATAGGAACCTGTGGTAAAAGTGATAATAGTGTCAAAACAGCGACTTTCCACTAAAATACAACCATCAATTTCTCGAAAAAAAGGCTGGTGACCCCAAACTTTTTTAGATCAATATCCTTATATTGCCTTGGAGTACAATTTATTGCAAAATGAATAAAGTCTGGGTTTTTTAATTTATGAGTAGGCTTCTACCTTAAGGTATATATTTTAGTGAAATATATATCTTAAATATGTACTGTATATTTAAGTAAATTGTATATTAAAAATGGAGCAAATGTTGCAGAGATTATTTAGAACATAAGTATGAGGTGTACCGGTACACCTCTTTCAAAGTTAAAACAAGAACCATAATATTTCTAACATAAAAGTAGTTGGTGCAATGAATTTAATCTTAAGATTTACAAATGGTGTGTTTCTAATCTCTGTTTATATTGATACATATTGTCACAATTGGTCTGGGACTGTGTGATATTGTAAATTTCTTCACTTTAGGATCAGAAAAAAAACTATTTGTTTTGCTGGTCACCTTGCCCATCAACTAAAAATGTGTACCTCTTTTTTAAGGTGTTTTGTCAGAAAAAAGAAAAACAATTGATTCTCGATGATAATTAAAATAAAGAGGATCAGAAAATAACTTTAAAATTAAAACAACATGTATGTTAGAAAAGGAATCATTCGGAAACCTTGTCTTAGCTTCAGCATAAATCACAATGCAAAAATGCTAAAGTGTGAACTTGAGTGTGCTACTGTCAATTACTCTCACCTAGTCTGATTTACTGATCTCAAATTAACAAATTCAAATCTGATTCTATATATGTATGGTATCTTTTATCTTTTATATTGAATTCAACACTATTACCTTACCTAAATAATGTTGTTACATTTGTAATAAAGTCCCTCCATTTTAAATATTGCTCTAAGTTCAATGTTACCAAAAAAGCTCTTTGGTAACATTGAACCGGGTGATGATTAAGGCTTATCTCAGATTTGTTTTTCTTATGTCCTTACGTTTTTTGTGTGTAACTTGCTTGTTTTGATATCTTTATAATAAACCTATACTACACTCATTACTATGTTATAGATTCTGTATACAATTGAATGTATAAACATTATGTGAACTTGTCAGTGCTACACGTACCTTGGATGATCTGTCTTTACTTACAACAATATTCAATGGTCTGATGTTGTCAAGAGACTTCTGAGTAATAAATTTACACTGAGCATTGTAAATCACAATTCTACCCTCAGCGTCACAAGAACGCTTATTATTACAAATATACATATTATCATTTCCATCAATTCCTACACCATAGGGTGGATATAATTCTCCTCTTTTATCTGTGGGATAAAAGTATTCTTTAAGTTTCAAATCTGGGTAGAGTATATGAATACATGCATCATTGACAGTATCCATCCCTGTGTCAGATACAATCACACAGTCCCGACTGTTGACAGTTAAGTACAGACACCCTTTAAATTTCTTATCTTCCTTTGGTTGATATTGTGTAATGAAGTCACCGTCTGTGGTGTACTTCTTTACACTCGTATCACCATTACATGTTATTATTACATGGTTACCATCATTGGTCAGTGTAATGGCTGTAGGGTTGACAAATTCTTCCTTTGGGAATGTGGTAATCAGTTTACTATTCTGATTACATACTATTATTTTCTTACTTATTTTATCGGTGATATAATACTTTCCATCAGTTGATGCAGCAACATCATATGGTTTCATATTTGGTTGAGGATAACCTTTGTCAGTGATTGAACTTATTGAAAATTGTATATTGCATTTCCAATCCATAATTGTTACACAATTTGAGATATTATTTGCTACAACTATATCTTTCTCATGATTAAGAGTAATCCCACTTGGTCCACCATACCTTTTCGAAGCTAATGGTACTAGTTCAAATGGTCTTCCTTGGGTTATAGATGGTTGCATCAATTGAGGGACTGGTAAACAAATAAACATAAAAACATGATTATGCAGGGAAAAGAAAATCCCACAGTATTTATCAAAGCCATATACTGACCACCGTATCCACCCTTTGATAGATACTCTTCCAATTAAACTTGCATGATGTAACAAGTAAAATGGAGTTCCATGAAGCATCAAGGACGGAAATTTCATAGGGGTTCTTTTCCTGGTGTGTCACATATAGATATTTTGTTTTTTAACGAACTGCTCAGAAAGTTTTCCCATTGCAAAATTGGATAAAAACTTGCTGACATGAGTGGACATTGCTTACCTTGTTTCGCTGCTGATACAGATGTGTCTCCATCTGAAGCTGCCTCATTTCTTTTTTTACCTGATAAGAAATCATAAATTCAAACGTATCACATGTATTCACATTTATTTATTTAGAAGACCATTAGAGCTAGTCCCATTTACAGACTCTACTAGAGAATATTCCGTCATCTTATGGAAAATTCGCTGCTGACTGTGACAATACTTTTTTGACTCTGATTGACTGACATGTTTTGCGTCCCCATCCCGCAAGACTCCTTCTCACAAACTGGGTACCATGTGTTTGGTAGTTTTGTCAAAAAGTTCTTGTGTTTAAACTTGTTATAGGAAGGTTTCTGGTGATGGGATCGCACCCACATTCTGCTTGATGCGAGGAAAACACCCTAACCACTGCACCACACCCAAGTGATTATTTTATTCTTACTTGCACTTTTAACATACTTTTCCACTTTTACTGCAAGTTTTTTCACCTTCGCTACTTCAAGAATTTCTGAGAGATAGGACATGTTGTTTTCAGAAATTACATTTGCATCATTGAGTGCATGGATCAGGTCAGCTGGATGTTTCAATGCTGCAATCCTTCTCTCTTCTAGTTTTGGTTTACTTTGTCGTTTCAGGCTGTTGAATACTTCTGCATGTAAATGAATTTTACATTATTAACAAGTGGGTATATATATTTCTTAAAAAAAATTAAAATGCAATTATGCATTATTCTAATTTTTTTTTTTTTAATTGGTCTAATCTCAATATGCATTTAATACGAATTTAAGATTGAAAAAAGATCATCAATTGATACGATACTTATTAGTTATTTCTCGTCATCCACTACATTAAAAAATTAAATGAACAAACACATTTTGTGGGAAGAACATGGCTAATTTACATTAAATAAAAGTTTGAGTTTT